GGGGGGAAGAGGCTAATGGTAGGATTAAATAATATACGAAGGAGAGGACAAAATACTTTTTTTTTTTAAAAAGAAAGAAAGAAAGAAAAACATTTTTTTTAGATACAGTCTAGAAAGAGAATGCAGTCAGAAATTGTTAGATTAATCTGAACATGTGTGAAGATAGTTTATTAACCACACCCATATGTCAGAGGTTTTGTGCCCCACAGGTGAACTAAAGGAGAAGGTGACCCACTCTATCTAACCAGGTGACTGGTGAGCATCCAGTCCCTAAAGAAGAAAAACTGGAAGCAGGCCTGTTGGGAAGAGCCCTATCAGGTTATATTGGGGGGGGGGGGGGGGGGCTGGACGTCCAGATGGAGGATAAGAAGGTATAACGAAATCCCCACGGAGATGGTAGTAACAATAGTAAAGGTCACTAAAGAGGACATGAAAATAACTTACTGGGCTTGTGCGGACGAATACGGACTGGATACTTGTCTAAGATTACATTTGATGGAGTCGAAAGATATGGAGGGCACAGGTACTGTCATTAATCCATTAATAGCAATAGACCGAGTAGATCAGTCAAGGGATGACGGAGTCAATTCGACTAACCCGTCCACTATGAAAGATTTTCTCCTCCAAGAATGGAACCAAGGGGAGGTGGAGGGGGTCCCTGATGAGAATCTCTGGTTAAAGTGGATGAAGTACACCGCTAGGGCCTTGGGGGAGACCAATTGTTATGCATGCTCCATTGGGCGACCGACAATGTTGACCGCCCCAATGCCAAAGGCAATGTTTCCCTGTGTATTAGACCTGGGGTCCAATCAAAAAGAGCCCAATTGCACAGGGATTGGGCTGGCAAAGTTGACTTACTCGGCCAGCCCACCTAGATTCACTTTAACTCTTGGCGAATACCAGTGTTGCAGACATAGAAATGGCACCCGTAACTTGGGTGATTTTGATGGCTGTAAGGAGATAATTAATGTGACTGATTTAGATAAGGAAGGGAGGGGAAAAATTATGAACCTTACCATCCCTCTGACTGATGTGTGGTGGGCATGTACTAACAAAGGGAGCATTCGACAGACATTACCAGAGGGATGGGTGGGTACTTGTGCACCAGTATTGTTGGTCCAAACCTGTAAGAATTAGTCATCAAAGACCAGTGACAGGAATAATAATCAGGAGGAGGAGAAATATAGGTCAGGAAGGAAATAGCCCAATTTGGATAGATGGTATAGGCATCCCCAGGGGTGTTCCAGATGAATACAAAGCTATGAATCAAATATGGGAGGGTTTTACCACAACATTTTTCTGGTGGGTGACAATAAACAAGAATGTGGATTGGATACATTATATCTATTACAACCAACAACGATTTATTAACCCGACTAGAGATGCAGTAAAGGGGATCTTCGAGCAATTATCCGCCATCCCGCTCATAACTTAGTAGAGGTTGGTTCTAGATCAGGCAGAAAGGGCCGGTGTCTATAGAATGATAAGCCATTGTTGCACATTTATCCCTAACAACACCACACTGGATGGGACAGTCACCAGAGCTCTTAAAGAATTAACTGCACTAAGTGAAGAATGAACTGAGAAATCAGAAGTTAGTACATCGTGGATAGGGTGGTTTGATGAAATGTTTGGTAAATGGAAAACCATAGCAGCCACCATCTTAGGAGCGGTCAGTGTTTGTATGGGTATTCTTGTATTATGTGGTTGTTGTCTTGTTCCCTGTGTCCGAGGATTGGTGAGTCAGGCGTTGGTGAAATGCAGTATCTAATCAATGATGAGAGATGGACTGACTCCGGACTCTGACCAGGGGAATGTGAAAAACGATCCTCCAGGCTTGGTGAATGACGAGGATTTGGAACCTGAAAGACCGCAATTGGATGAAATGTTTATTAGTTCTGACGTAATCTCTGAGATTAATCATGCTTGTAAAATACATTTATCGTGAATGTGAAAACATTTAGTCAAAGGGGTGGATTGTTAGATTAATTTGTATTTTAAGAATAATGACTAAAGGCTTTCACCCCAAATACAGTATAAATGTGTGAACGGTGTTAGAGTTATAATGTAGTGGCAACCCACTAACAGAGGGGGGCGGGACTAAACATTCCAGGGTGAAGGGGACTGAGAAAACGGGTAAAAAAAAGCCTCCTAAAGGTGGGCGGAGCAAAGTGCCTTTGTGTGTCAAGGGGTATAAAACAGGAGTGTATGGGTTTTGGCGACAGAGCTCTCCATGAATAAAAATACAGATCATTCTTGCTGGTTGTGGACCTTGAATCATTTATGATTAAAACCAGAGCCTTACAACCTCTGGTAATGATTCAAGCTTAGGTTGAATTAGAGATAGAAATTCTCGTGACACGAGCTGAGATTAGGAGCACACTCTTAAAGGGAGTGCTCCTAATCTCAGCTTGTTACCTGTATAAAAGACACCTGTCCACAGAAGCAATCAATCAATCAGATTCCAAACTCTCCACCATGGCCAAGACCAAAGAGCTCTCCAAGGATGTCAGGGACAAGATTGTAGACCTACACAAGGCTGGAATGGGCTACAAGACCATCGCCAAGCAGCTTGGTGAGAAGGTGACAACAGTTGGTGCGATTATTCGCAAATGGAAGAAACACAAACGAACTGTCAATCTCCCTCGGCCTGGGGCTCCATGCAAGATCTCACCTCGTGGAGTTGCAATGATCATGAGAATGGTGAGGAATCAGCCCAGAACTACACGGGAGGATCTTGTCAATGATCTCAAGGCAGCTGGGACCATAGTCACCAAGAAAACAATTGGTAACACACTACGCCGTGAAGGACTGAAATCCTGCAGCACCCGCAAGGTCCCCCTGCTCAAGAAAGCACATATACAGGCCCGTCTGAAGTTTGCCAATTAACATCTGAATGATTCAGAGGAGAACTGGGTGAAAGTGTTGTGGTCAGATGAGACCAAAATCGAGCTCTTTGGCATCAACTCAACTCGCCGTGTTTGGAGGAGGAGGAATGCTGCCTATGACCACAAGAACACCATCCCCACCGTCAAACATGGAGGTGGAAACATTATGCTTTGGGGGTGTTTTTCTGCTAAGGGGACAGGACAACTTCACCGCATCAAAGGGACGATGGACGGCGCCATGTACCATCAAATCTTGGGTGAGAACCTCCTTCCCTCAGCCAGGGCATTGAAAATGGGTCGGGGATGGGTATTCCAGCATGGCAATAAAGGAGTGGCTCAAGAAGAAGCACATTAAGGTCCTGGAGTGGCCAAGCCAGTCTCCAGACCTTAATCCCATAGGAAATCTGTGGAGAGAGCTGAAGGTTCGAGTTGCCAAACGTCAGCCTCGAAACCTTAATGACTTGGAGAAGATCTGCAAAGAGGAGTGGGACAAAATCCCTCCTGAGATGTGTGCAAACCTGGTGGCCAACTACAAGAAACGTCTGACCTCTGTGATTGCCAACAAGGGTTTTTCCACCAAGTACTAAGTAATGTTTTGCAGAGGGGTCAAATACTTATTTCCCTCATAAAATGCAAATCAATTTATAACATTTTTGACATGCGTTCTTCTGGATTGTTTTGTTGTTATTCTGTCTCTCACTGTTCAAATAAACCTACCATTACAATTATAGACTGATCATGTCTTTGTCAGTGGGCAAACGTACAAAATCAGCAGGGGATGAAATACTTTTTTCCCTCACTGTAAGTAGTTTTTTGAGGTATCTGTACTTTACTTTACTATTTATATTTTTGACAACATTTACTTCACTACATTCCTAAAGAATGTACTTTTTACTCCATACATTTTCCTTAACACCCAAAAGTACTCGTTACATTTTGAATGCTTAGCAGGACAGGAACATTTTGAAATTCACACACTTATCAATAGAACATCTCTGGTCATCCCTACTGCCTCTGATCAGGCAGACTCACTGAACACATGCTTCGTTTGTAAATTATGTCTGAGTGTTGGAGTGTTCCTCTGGCTATCCGTAAATAAAAAATAAAATAAAAATGGTGCCGGCTGGTTTGCTTAATATAAGGAATTTGAAATGATTTATACTTTTACTTTTGATACTTAAGTATATTTTAGCAATTACATTTACTTTTGATACTTAAGTATATTTAAAACCAAATACTTTTAGACTTTTACTAAAGTATTATTTTACTGGGTGACTTTCACTTTTACGTGAGTCATTTTCTATTAAGGTATCTTTACTTTTACTCAAGTATGACAATTGAGTACTTTTTCCACCACTAAAATGGGTCTTTTGACCAATCATATCAGATCTTTTCACATCAGATCTTTTTCAGAGCTGATCTGATTGATCAAAAGACCAATTAGTGAAGAAAAAAATTATAATTGGGCTCCCTGTGTAAACGCAGCCATTGTGTTCAGATCTGGCAGGCTGACCCAGGAGGTGGTCAGGGATGCATTGTGTGGATTTCTCCATATTTTTCCTCAGTCTGGAGTCTACATGCATTAGCAAAACATAATAAATGAAGTAGTCCTTGGTTTTGTAATCTACTCGAACTCAGACAGGGCATTATGTATCTCACCTAGTGTTTAGATAATGAACAGTAATCTTAGAGAGCGCTGTGTGAAACCTTGTATAGCTTTTTCATCATACTCAGGCCTACATTTTAGGCTACTAGTATACCTGCCAAAGCATCTCTAAACTTCCATTCTTCCCAAGGTAACTGTATTACTTTATTTTAGCAATAGTTGACCTATGTCTGATTGCATTAAACAGTGACATAGCCTATAAAAAAGGTTGTGTAGACAATACAATAAGAGAGGCAAAGATGGTATGGTGTGTGTTTTAATTCCCTTTATTACCAGTGGCCCTGCCTTTTGAACTTGATTGTGGTGGGACAGAGACACTTCCCCAGAGATATATCCCATCATCCACCTAATCTCAAATCATAAAATCTAATATCCCTGCTGATGGCTGCTGCCCACTAGTGTTTTGGCCCTAATAAATGCAGTGAAAAGCAGGGTCGGTGTTTGCATTAAGACATGCCACAAAGTGTCTCACTGACTTCCCACAACTTCTTGGCCACAGCATCATCTTTGGCGTTGGCATTCACCTTCTGTACTGCACAGCAGGAGAAGTAGCATCCACTCAGAGGCTCTATACCCTCCTGGAGGGCACAGTAGAGTGTAGTCTGGGCCCCGGATTCTGCGTCCACAGCGAACAGCGAGATGAAAGGTGCCAACATCATGCGCCTGAATACTGGACTATTTCTGTCTTCACTCCTCCTGTGACAGAAAAAAAACAGTATTAGTAAGCATACTGTATATTTCTGCACAGTTACAGTACATACCATCCGGCCTTGCTTACATGCTATAAAGTGTTGAAGCACTGACCTGGGTGCAAACTGTAGCAGGTGACATTTGTGCCCTCCAGTCTTTTGGCAAGCTCGTGTGTGAAGAGCATATTACACAGCTTGCTATGACTGTACTTCTGAAACAAAGCCCAGTCAGATTCTCCAACAGCCAGGTCTTTGTGGGTACTCAGGCAGTTAAAATCGACTTTGCCAAACTCATGAGCTATGGAGGCGACAGTCACCACTCGACTCGGACCGCATTCTTTCAGACGGTCCAGCAGCTGCACGGGTAACAGGAAGTGGCCGAGGTGATTAACGCCGAAGATCATTCCCACGCCGTCCTTTGTCTTGCCACCATTCACAAGCCCTGCATAAAGAGGACCAATGTTTTCAAAATAAATACACTTTCACTCCTTTGTTAATGCAGGTTTGCTGTATATTAAGAAACCAACCAGCCATATAATCCATTGACATTTGGTTTGCTTGAGAGAGGATGCAACATGTAACAAATTTGACTATAACACAATATAACACAATGTGAAATATCACACTCAATACTGGACCCATGGCAGCAATGCATGACTCACCAGCATTGTTGATAAGAATATTGAGTCTAAATTCAGACTTAAGGAAGGTCTCATCAAAAGATCGCACAGACTGTAGGCTTGCAAGGTCCAGCTCCATGAACACAACCTCATTGTTCCCAGTCTCCTGAGAAAGTAAGAATGGCCAGTCAGATGCTCTGTGACCCTCACTTTATAGAGACTAATAAACCAAACCATCAACAAATTAATCAGCTAAAGTGACCAGAGCACAACTATCTGTAAAATGTGAATGAGAGGGACAGTGTGTGAGGTGTGAACATGACTGAGGGGGAACTACAGTAATATCGTCCATGTATGATCCACTGGCACCCCCTCAGTCAAAGACATGTAACTACAGCAAGCTTCCACTGTTTACCAGACAGCTGGAGTGAGATATGGATTCTGACACCTCTCTTACCTTCTTGATGTCACTGATGACAGCTTCTGCCCTCTGCTTATCTCGGCAGGCATTATAACCCTCGCACCTCTTCTGGACAGATCTATTGCTGTTGTTTTCCCAATGCCTGTGTTAGATCCTGGAGAGACACACCATTAGGACAGACCCACACAGACGTCGAGTTCATGTCCAGCGCAAAATGTTTAAAATACAATTCCTCAACTATTTACAATATGCAATAAAAGTAAATTACATCCCAAGAAAATAAATTAAGCAAAGAAATGCGGAATCAATCCCATGTGACCACCAATAATAACGGTACATAACATTAGATAACGGTCACTTCCCGACTGTACAAAACGAGGAATAATTGCCCACCATTAGTGTCACATTGTTTTATAATGTACGAACTCACCAGTCACGATTAGTTTTTCCATGTAACTTGGCATTGCTTTTGCATATTGGTTGTTTGAGATGCCAATTAAGAAGTACATAAAGTGCGATGAGTCCAGCGCCGACAAGAAGCAGTGTGAACATCTTCGTACAGTACTTTTTCTCTGACTGTACATAAGTATGAACTACAGTGGAATGGAAATCGATGTAGCTGTTGCGTTAGGCAATGAACGCGCCCTTTGGCAAGTACTGTATGTGTCCTCGTGTTCTGTCGTGGCACTCACTCTAAATAAAATAAAGAAGTTAAGCAACAAGTAGATTATGGTTCAAGAATTTGGCAAAAGTACATTTTCGTGCCACCTAGTGGTTATAAACAATAACTTCGTCGTACACTAACAAACATCCTAGTTGGCCTCAAAACTACACTGAGTTCAAAGCTACACTGTAACAAACATAGCTAAGCGCAACGTTACATTTTAACAAACATTGAGTTACAAGATACTCACAGACAATGGTAAAACGATACCCAATGTGGCCAGAAATGTGTGTATTTACTGGGGCATGTATACTGTATGTATTGTAGAGAACAGAGACCATGCATAACACCTTTCCGGTCTTGAACCCCAGTCTACACAAACTATCTTACCTAAACAAAGGTTGCTACACTATCCCCTCAGTTTGGGAGTGTGTCCCCACTCTTCACTTTACAAAGTCCCTCACATGTACACACCTATCCAATGGCCTAACAGGCGCCATCCCACTCCTGACACCAATGTAGCAAACAATGACATGCAATGTCCCTTTGTGGGTCTCCCAGCCCATAGGCAAGCTTACTAACCACCGCTCCAATAAGGTTAACCCGTTAAAGGGAGACCGTAACTAGCTTACCTAGGCAAGGGTCGCTACAGTACGTACTATGTAGCCTACATCTACAATTGGTTGTTAGCAACGAATGAAATGACTGAAGCCGAGGTGTTCACTGATGCTTGTTCTTAAAAATCTTTAGGTATTTACATTATGACAGACAAGAAACCAAGTCAAAGTTGCTTTGTATTTACAGAGTACATAAACATTTTCTGATGAATTATTTCTAAAAACAGACCATTTACAATATTGACACAGTATTGAAAAAAACTGGACTAACAATTATGAAAACTACTGCACAAAATTCACATGAAGCACTGTATAGATTTAAGCCAAAATGGCCATAATTTGAGTTTGCATACAGAATCCTATGCTCCCCTTGTTCTATGTTGAAAAGGGATTCTTAATCATGTACATTTGTGTGGATATTTCAAAACACACACACCTATGCATAAGCATGGATGTGTACATATAAGTTTGAATATATAGCTGCTGCCTGTAGTGCAATAGCAAAACAAACATTTGAACAACTACATTTTCAAATACAGTACACAAACTAAAATGATGAAGAGCAAATAAAAGTAGCATTTTCAGAGAAAGAAGCATGTTTATGCTATCATTACTGGCACAAAATACAACAAGTTGAGTACTTTACAAGTGACATTGCTTGTTTTTTCGCATGTCTACGATAAACCATCCCTTTTTTCAATGCCAAAGTTGTCCATTTACAAAAAATGAAAAATATAAATTCTATGTGCAACTTGCCCACAAAATATGAGCCTGAAAAATACTTAATTTCATGCAAATGTATGAACATAAAATAAGAACCCTTTCCTTTTTTTATACAGTATACAAGTACAGCTGCTGAGCCTGGTTCTTGTTGATGTGGGGACATAGGGCTAGGGGACAGGGTTAGGTTGTATCACTGGCACTTGGTGGAGCTGGGAGATGTGCTTGTCAGAGGGTTCTGTTCCCTCCTGGCTCTGGAGGGTGGCAGTGGAGGTGGTGTTTGGGGTAGTCATAGTTTCCTCTTTGGGCTGCTTGCAGGCAAACTCTGTAATACTGAAGACAAACTGCATGCAGCCCAGCTTGACGAAGCTGCCGTGGTGGAGCAGGGCAGTGCCCTCCCAGCCTGCCCCACTGCCCCCGATCAGACTGGAGCTGCTGGCCTTGCAGTCACAGCAGGATCTGGAAGTTCCCTGACACTGGCTCATCACCCTCTCCTCTAGCACCATGGGCTCCCCTTCCTCTTCCTGTTTCCTCCTCTTGCAGCGCTCTGTGGGTAAAAGACATTACAAACAATCAGACCTTTAACAAACACCATCATCCGTCTGCTTTAACAACATTAGGAAACATAACATCATGGTCATTACTAAAAGGTAAAGGTTAACTACTTCCTTCCTGTTTCTATAGGAGGCTATGACAGAGGAGCTCCACTCACTGATAATGTTCTGCACTTTGGAGACCAGGCTGCTGGAGGGGCTGGGGCCAGTCTTCTCAGAGAAGTCACAGGAGTACAGCACATTGTCTACCGTGGTCCCGTGTTCACTGTAGTTGAGCAGCTCATACTGCTTGGTGTTCTGATCAAGGCAAGAGCAATTACATAATAACATATTTAATTTACAGAGCAGCTAATAAAATAATCCCTCAAGCAAGAAAATATATATCTGAAACATATTTATACTTTATTTCTGTACAGGTCACAATTTATCGTAAAACTGTTTCCAATACTAAGTACATGTTTGAATGTGAAATAAATGATCCACCCACCTCATCATAGAAGATGCATGCATGTTTGCCTGACACATAATTACAATGACCATAGTTTGTAAGGCACACGTTCATGTCAGCACCTACAAACAACAAGACACAGCTTCAAGTCAGCTAAATCTGCCAGGGATGGAAGACACCATTACATGAATAAGAGTTCCTGCTATTGGGTCATGTTGTGTTATCTGGGACTGAGAGTGAATTTTACCAGATCCTATGTACAGGCTTCTGTAGCACATACTGACAGCTCCTCCTTTCCCAGTCAAAGGATAAAACACAGCCCTGGCCTGGATATCCTTGTTTTGTGCTGAGAAAGAGAATAACACACATTAACTTCCTCAAAATGATGCTTTATACAGAACACTCAAAAGGTAACGATACAGGACAAACTATTTCTCACGAAGGATGAATTTACAAACATGATGATGAAAGGGGGATAGAAGCAATGGACGTCAATAGAAATGGCCAGAATAATCAGCGTGAATATGGTGAGGTAGGGTTAGTGAGGGAATGGCCAGTGAGTCAGAGTGAGGTAGAGATATAGGGAACACTGGGTGGTGGTGGTCTTGATAATGAACAAGGGTTTCTTACCTTCCGTAGGCTGGGGTTGTGGCACAAGAGGTAGGCTGATACAGCTGCTCTGTGGAGGGGAAGGAGCTTTAGGGCCAAACAGCTGCTGGATCCTTTGCCAGGCCAGGAGTTTAATAAACTTCTCATCTAGACTACTCATCTGAATCTCTGGAAAATAATCAAAAAGTTAAATAGATATAGTGAATTCAGGTAGTGTGGATCTAACTTCTCCTCACCAATTATTCACAAGTGAAACCAATCAAAATGTCGGTCTTATTATGTCAGGTAAGACTTACCACCGTGGCTGTCTGCCACAGCCTTCAGACAGCTGGACAGGTCTCCCATAGAGAAAGAGCTGGGGAGCAGAGAACCACTCCTGGGGGTCACAGCATCAAGACTGACTTTTCCACCTGCTGGTGGGGCGGTGGAGCCCAGCTTGGTTGTTCCCTTGATCTGGTATGGTGTTCTAGGTGGGGTGAGGGCACGGGTCGCTGCGGTGCTGCTGATACTGGTCAGAGCAGGGCCCTCTGTGCCTTGGGAGGGTCTGTGAGGTGGAGAGGGGCCTCTGGGGTCTGGTTTGAAGGGACTGGTGCATGGGGATGCTGTCCCTGCACAGGGTCTTAATAGGGTTTTCTCAGTCTTGACCACAGCTCTTCCAGTGTGGTTGGGTAACTCTGGGCCAGAGGCTGCTGGTGTCTGAGGAACGGGCCTATCAGGACCCGAGGGCTCTCTCAGTTTGTGGAGGTCATCCTGTCTGCAGGCCTCTGAACTCCCATTGGTCCAAGCCAGCTGCTCCAGGGGACTGTTAACATTACTGGGCCCACAGTTATGACAAGGCTTCTCTGTACACATGCTACACTTGCCTTCTTTGAGTGCAGGCGCCCCCTGGGGGCAAAATGCTGTACTGTCAGCCTTAGGCTTGGAGGCTAGCGACGCTGTCCTGTTAGAAGTGCACACTGCACTGCCCTCCTCTGCTGTTACACAAGGTTTGATGTTGGCCTTGTCCATTTGCTCAGAGTCCCACTCAGACGATAGCTTCTCCTTCTGCTTGGCCGATAGATGTCTCACTATGCTGCACTGGAGTGTGATGACGTCACGGAGCCACTGGGAGACATTACAGGAAAACAAAATGCATTAAATCAGTATTAAAGACATTGGATTTGTTTACTATCATGAGACATTGTATATCACTGCTGCATAACACTCCAGTGTGTCCTACCTCCTGTTGCTCGTCCTCGCTGGTTAAGTGCTGAGAGGGTGTAAGGTGCTGGTGGGAGGATTCTGGACTGCCGTTACAGATCAGCTCCCCGTTGCGGATCCCAGCCTGGGCTATCATGGCCGGGGGACACTTATATTGGGACTTTATAGCATCAGGGACCTGTCAAGATACACACACGATAGATTGAGTTACAGGATGTGACAACAGTGAACACAGTGGTGGTGTGTTATATGTCACAGAGACTAGTAGGCTGACCTTGAGGGTCTTCTTCAGGTGTGTGTGGGCTCCTCGGCGAACGGGGGGGTTGAGACGATGCACCCGCTGCAGGAAATCCACCTTGATGGCGTGTTGGGACATCCTGTCCTGAAACTGGTCAAACAGCTGGCAGCGGCCGCTCAACGTCAGGCTCCTCTGCTTCAGCTGGGAGAGAGGGGCACAATCAGGTCAATACCATTAAAACAACATGTTTCAATACGTGGATGTGCGTGACCATGAGCTTACTTACCACCATGTGCTCTATGTGATTGGGACACATCCACTTGCCCACGGGCATGGCAGTAAGTGGGGGGTCCAGACAGTCCATGTGGAACAGAAGGGGGCAATAGTCACACTGGATTAATGGTGCCAACCTGCAGCTCCTACAACACAAACAGAGGAGATTCACTAAAACCTGATGGGTTAGATATACGACTGATATCAAACAAGTAGACTGCAAAATATCCTCCCGAGTGGCACAGTGGTCTAAGGCACTGCATCGCAGTGCTAGCTGTGCCACTAGAGATCCTGGTTCAAATCCAGGCTCTGTCGTGGCCGGCTTCGACCGGGAGACCCATGGGGCGGCGCACAATTGGCCCAGCGTCATCCAGGGTAGGGGAGGGAATGGCCAGCAGGGATGCTAGTAGAGCATGGCGTTTGCAATGCCAGGGTTGTGGGTTTGATTCCCACGGGGGGCCAGTATGAAAAAAAAAAAACATATATATATATATATATATATATAATGTATGCACTCACTAGTAAGTCGCTCTGGATAAGAGCGTCTGCTAAATGACTTTAAAAAAAACAAAAATAACCTCAAAATAGAGCTAGGGTTAGTTTGCCCTAATAGTTTAGTGAAAGAGGAGGGGATCACTTGAGGGCAAGAGATGAATGGATTTCCAACATACTGTCTGGAATCCTGGCTGTGTATCTGTAGTAGAGACCCCAAGCCAAGCCCCAAGGCTCATCATTCCAGAATATATAAAATGCTCAGTGAGATAGTTTGAATTCCCCCTTCTCTCTGGTCAGCCATGTGGTTCTGCATTCTGTGGTATTCCTGACATAGCCAAGGCTCTGACGCCAGCCCATAGAGGCACTAAAGAGGGTAGTAAATAACACATAGCAACATAACTACAGAGTAGCATTATGGTCCCATGAAAACATGTCAGGACAAACTCTACAACTCCTCTAACGAATACAAAAAAAATGGGGTAGCCAGTCAGTCATGCAGTTGTTGAACATATCTCCCCCGGCAACCCTGATCAAATAACTAACTGGCTTTAAGATTCTCAGCCTCACAACCCAATACCAGGGAAAATGTAAGCAAAAATAAAAAAAACACCTGCAAATATTACTTTATATCATGATTCTAGTAGACTGCAGTAAAAACAAATTAACAAACAACAAAACAAGTTGACAACACAAACTCTCTTTTTGGCATTCAGGAATGCCTTCAAACAAAAACATCTGCTGAACAGATGATGTGTACTGCTATTGAATCCAAGATGCTGTTCCAATGGGGTGCCTGCCTCTCATTTAAGACTAAGCCATGCTTTCTGAAAGATGATAGTCTGCATAATGTTATGTCTCCTTCTGTCGTTTCCCTGCTCTCTCCCTCTTCACTTGGAGACTGTACTATTTTACTAGTAATTATGGCTCCTCTTTCCACAGGCAGTTGGGACTCCTATAATGGTCCACTGTTTGCTCTTCTGAATGCTTTACTTAGCCCAGCCAGAGAAGATGGCGCTGCGTTCAAAATAATAAATGGCATATTGTATATTTTCATAGTAAACCACGCAATTATTTATATGCATTTTTTATGAGTGTAGAAACAGCTGAAATAGTGTGTGATCTGCATATAATTGGATAAGATATCTTCTTTCTGGATTTGTTCTCAAAGCCTAGTAAGAATGTAACATCTGGTGCCCAAAAAATCCCAGTTAGCCTACACAAAAATTAAGTTCAATAGAAGAAAGGCAATATTTTGTCATTAAAACATTGGCCTTGCTGTTGTCCATACCTGCCACAGGGATAGCAGACCTTCACTGGCAGTGGGACCAGCCCATTGTGGTCCAGCTCATGCTGCGGTCGCTTCACATTCTTTCCTGTCATCTCATCTCTTCTCCTCTTTTTACTGGTTCCTGGAAGTGCAGTTGTGCAGGTGAGCTCATTGGGGAGCTGGAACTGCGTGGGGTTCCTCTCCATGGCAGCAGCTATCAGAAGGTCAAAGGGCCTCTTGAGGTGTGGGGAGAAGCTCTCGGGCTCCGAGCCCTGGGCGTCGTCCTCCACGTCTAGCATGTCGTCATCCATGTCATTCTGCTCCGAGGGCGTGGGGGTGTCTGTGGAGGCGGTGGAGGTGGGGGTGTTGGGTCTGCTGCTGGGCCTCCTCTCCAGGAGACGGACCTGGGCCACAGCTGTAGCCCTCAGCCCTGTGGTGCCTCCTACTGCTGCCGTGGGGTCCAGCCTCAGGGTGCCTGGGGCCAGCTCTAACTCTGCTGCAGGGGAGGAAGACTGCTTAGGCAGCTGGCGCTCCAGCAGACCATTAATCTGCTCCTTCTTCAGCTCCCGCTTCTATGACACAAGAAAAACACGTAAACATCCTGAACAGCCCTGGTTACACTAGTCTCACCAACCTACCCAGATGAATGAAGCAGTCAAGATAACACTTTGCAAACAAAATGGTTATTTCTCCACGTTTCATCAGAGACTTGACTCACCTTTCTGCGCACCATGCAGCGATGACACATCCAGTCTCCAGGGGGCAGCATCTCCTTACTCAGGGGTGGGTTGCTGCAGGTTCACCACAACTTAAACATTAGCGAAAAACAGCTGGCAAGGAAGTTCAATGCAAATCAGCAATTCATAACGTCCAATGCCCTCACAATGTAGCCTAGTTAACAATTTCCAGAGGTATGGCGTTTTTCCAAGGCCATTTTTCTCAATTGAAATGACTGAAAACGCTAGAGACCTGTAGCTGATGAAAGCCAGGTGAGAGGGAATGAATTCAAAAGGCTCTTTTTAGGCAGAGTGCCAAGGCCCCTGGGCACAGTCTCACAATTCTGTGCCTGAATCTATTGAAATGGCTGCTGGTCCAAAACCAACATGGATTCATTCAAGCTTTCCAAGAAAGTCAAAGACTGCAGTGATGAGCACCACAAAAAAAGGAGCACCACAAGATTAAATAAACAATCTACTTTCCTCAGCAAAAACCTTTCATGATCTATGAAACCATTGTGGCAACAGCTGAAGGGCACTGATAACACTTTCCTAGAAGAAGTCTTAACAATGAGCAAAAAATACATAAAAAATAACCCTACAGAACTCATAGGCAAAATTGATATACTGTAGTGCAGGCTATGAGGAGACAGCAGCTCTGGTCTACTTAGCTCCCAGCAGCACATGCCATGGTTAATGATTATTCATATCGTCAGTGATGCTGCACTGCCAGGTTCCCAGAGCTCCTCACTGCTTCAGCAGAAATCCTCGACTAAACCTCACCAACATCTGCAAGCTCATTAAATACTGGAAATGTCTGTTAGGAGAGGAGTAAGTGGTGTAGACAAGAGAATGAGCTAAATGCATGCAAAAAATCTGTCATCCTTGACTGAAGAGAAACATGGTGAAGTAGCTGAAGCACGGCAAAGTAGCTAAGTGCAGAACTGAGTGCAGACCTGTCTACAGAGAAATGGTCAACAACACAAGTTACAGTAGTTATATACAAGTACAACGCTACAGAGTTTTAACATGTACAAAGCCACAGAGTTTTAACACGTAGGTCTAAACAATAGGGTGGCAGAATATTTTTTTTAACCTGCAATGTTGAAAACAGTTTGATGAGCTACAGCCCCACAATTTGGCAAAGAATGTGCATTAGTTTAGCCAACCAGAGCTACCAGGAGATTGTCTGTCAGTAGTCAGCTACCCACAGAGTTGTTAGACAACCACAAATGTAGCCAAGTACCTCAACTACTTCACGGATTTGAGTGCAGACTAGAGTTTCTTAAACTAACCTCTGACTCATACTTCAAAAAGTGTAAATTCTTAAACCCTTACCACATACCTATGTTTGTCCTCTGTTGTTGCGTGCCTTTTTGTTTGCTGAAATCCATAGTTTGTATTTGATTAACGTTTTATTAAAAAGTATGGATTTCAACAAACAAACCAAAATGTCTCGCAACAGAGGACAAACATAGGTACATGGTAAGCGTTTAAGAAATGTTTTAAGTATTGAAGGCTCTTTTTTTTTTTTTTTTTTACGATTGTCTGCGCTCAACTCCATGGAGGAGTATATGTACTTGGCAACCACAAATGCTGCCTTCCTTGCAAGAATGGTAGCAACACCGTGAAGTTATTACTGTAAATGTAACGATATCATAAACATACCAGCACTGTAAATGAAAGGCGGCGGGACAATGATCACAACAGAGGAGGTCGCCTCCCTCTCTGCAACTGTCACAAGTGTCGTGATTCGTGGCTCTCCCTGCTCTCCGGGCATTTTTATCTGGTTTCCGACTTCTTTTTTCTCCGTCTTCAGACTTGGGAGGCGCGAGCAATGCTTGTATTTGCTAAAGTATCAGGGAAATAGTGCAGTGATAGATCTGGTTAGCTACCTACATTGTTGCACAGTATCTACTGTAGTGGCAAGTCTGCCATACAACAACAAACCACATTTAATGAGCTACAATGTAACAATTTCAGTCAATGGTTTGACTTGATACTTTTTGGTAACATGACTTCTGCCAGAGGTTAGCTAGAAAAAGCAATGGCGTCCAGCAGTTAGCTAACGACGTTAGAGAGCTTAGCTAGCTAGTAGTAGTTAGCTACAAACATTGCACTGCCACTTCGCCCTATACCAGCTAGTAGTGAGTTAGCTAGGTAGTTACTACTATATAAACAACAAAGAGAACAAAAACACAACCCTGCTATAGCCATTTTGTCATCATGATAGTAACAGTAAAGGCTTTACCTGCATAAGACCACCAGAGGTGTCAAGATCGTAGACAATCGTTGGGGTCTCCATTTTATCCCACATTCAAACAGCCGAAGTGAGCAAACAATCAGAGCTCCGTTTTTAACAAATCCTTCAAGCAATGTCTGACAATAGGTTATATCCTCACTGTCAGCAGATTATTTCCTAAAACGTCTTGTGGAAATAAACAAGTTCCTATTAGTTAGCTAGTTAATGGTTTTTGGAGAACCCATCCGAGGTAGATTTAATAAAATGCCTCCCTTCACAGTTCAAAGACGAAGAGTCCTTTCTTCATGAAATCCTTAGCTTAGTTAGCCTTGAATAGTTTATCTTCCACGTTGTCCCAACCGTGTAATGCAAAAAGACAAAGTACTCCTCTTGTTGCCAAATTGGAGAAAATATATTCGGCGTTTGGCCTTAGTCCTTACTGAGGCCTAGCTTTGTACATGGTGCTTGTCTCTACGCCTGTGGTTGAAGCTAACGTTACCTATGATGCTGTTTACAGAGGCATATTTGTTCCCTTCCATAATAAAATAATAAAATCTTACCTATATCTCACATACCTGACATATAATTGCAAATATATTAAGTATTCTCCTTGTATATCGGGAAAAACAGCGCCGAAACTGTAGCTGGTTATTGTTGTTATGAATAAATGCTAGCTAAGCATCAGCCCTAACTGTGCTAGCTTCATCCTCACCATGGAGTTGGCGCAAATTTGCGTAGAACGACGTTTTGAGCATGCGCTCTACGACCGCTTGCTCTCATCTTGGTTGAGGCAAAAATGGGCGTTTCGAATAAAGCTTGAGCTTTGGATACAAAGAATACGATAGAATATAAAGTAACATTGTCATCCGTGGAAAATAGTTGTCATACATCATATCAGGAATTTGGTTGTTCTGCTAGGGTGAACACCGATTGCATGTTTGCTTATTGCTTTTACTAAACTGTCCAGAAAACAAACTTCTCCTCGCTGCCTCGTCCCTATAGTTTCAATAGTAATCCTTCTATTTGTCCTCCGATGAGTAGCCTAGGCCCAGTACAAATTCCAGTCAATCGTCCTGACTAACTGCTTGTCAAGCATAGCCTACCTAGACCAATGGTTCCCAACCCGAGGTACTAGGACCTCTAGGGGTACTTGGCCTATCCACAGGGAGTACTTGAGAAGACTCAGACTATGAGCATGCTGGTAAAATGCACGTGAGGCGGTACTTCAGGGGTCCTCTGGGAAGAGCAAAATTCAGTTGGTGGCACAGTAACCGACAAAGGTTGGGAACCACTGGCCTAGTCCATGGGGAAAATATATGTTGAAATTGTGAGAGTAATAATTAAGTCATTTTTCGATTTCATTGTATTTCCATTCTGAATTCATGCAACATATCTTGACAGGCTAAAATGTGACCTCATAGGTGTGTTTGTTACCGTAATAATCCATATAAAGTACAGTAATTTGTTAAATTAGAGGCATGTGTGGAAGTGAAAACATTGTTGAAATACTATAAAAGACTGAGATAATGGGAAATCAAATGAGAGGATGGCTGATATTGCTCTGTTGTAAGATTTGGCATATGCTGCATTTCGCAGAGAGCATGTTTTTAGAGACATATGGGACATTTCAGCAGAATGTACAGATTGGCTCATCAGATATCGTTTCCAAAAACCAATCTTCTATGATTTATGCAAGTATTTAAGATCTACTTTAGAAAGGCAAACACATGTGTAGGCTCTTAGCATTTTGTGTGGCTAGTTGTTTGGTCAAGCAGTAGACAGATTTATTTCAGCAGTTGATACTTAGCTAGCTAGTTTAAAACCCGAAGTTTTCATCTAAATTTAATCTGGTGCTGATTGTACGGAGATTGTGACAGCTAGTTAAATGGCTTCTCTTGACAAGGCAAGAACAAGATGTATGTCAGGTGAAGTGCAGTATTATCATAGGAGACTTATACTTGGAATACGGAGGAGGAATGGAGGGAAAAAGAGATACAGAGGAGGTCTAAGAGAGAGAGGGAGGAAGAGGGTGAGCTTGAGTCGGTTAAAAATGGCTTTGTTAAAGAAGAATGGTAGAAACTGTCTGCTAGTCAGAGGGAGCAGGCGCTCCGTGTTAAACGAATGGGGGCAAGAGATGTGAGGTAGCGGTAAATGTGAACGCTGACCAACTGAAGGAGAAGATTCCCTGTGTTTGTGATGCTCGTTGTTTGGTGCGATGCAGACAGGGTGGCGTGAGTGGTGAAACAGAAGTCATTGTCTGTTCTTTAGAGTTTTGATGTTGAGTCTTTGCCCGACGAGGTGATGTTAGGATATATAAGTTATCCGGTATGAGCTTTTGTGCTGAATACATTACATTGTTACAGGTGTCACGCTTATGGGCATGTGGCAGCAGTGTGTAGGAGGGAGGTTCCTAGGTGTGAGAAGTGTGCAGAAGGGCATGAGACCAAGGAATGTGTAGCATTGGGGAAAGTAGTGGTATGTGTTAATTGTAATGGTGCCCATGGAGCTGGGGATCAGAAATGTCCCGTGCGAAAGAGGCAGGCTGAGGTTTCCAGGGTTAGAGTAGTGCAGAAGTTGTCATATGCTGAGGCAGTGAAGAAAGTAGCAGAAGATGGGTCAAGGGGGAGGGATCCTGAGAGGAGTGGTGTGTGTAGTACATTTACATTTTAGTCATTTAGCAGATGCTCTTATCCAGAGCGACTTACAGTTAGTGAGTGCATACATTTTTTTTCATACTGGCCCCCGTGGGAATCGAACCCACAACCCTGGCGTTGCAAACGCCATGCTCTACCAACTGAGCTACACTGGGCCGACCTGTACCAGCCAGAGGGATAAATCAACAAGTGATATATGTTTCAGTAAGATTGGCATTTATAGCAATGGTTATCAACTGTACTGCAGGGATGGAACGTAAATCGCAGAAAAGAGGTTGTGGTGGCAGCTGCAGAGAGGTATTTTGGTGTGCGAGACTTGACATCAGAAGAGTTACAGGGTGTGTTAAGTGGTGGTGTCCCATCCTTTCAGGCTGTTGGCCTGAAGTAGGACTAAATACTGGAGTATTGTGTATATATATATTATATATTATTAATTTTTGCGAGTGTAGTGTTAGATGGTAGGGTATTTGTTTTTATTTCCTTTTTCAAGCAAAGTATAAGGAAGTTATACTCCAGTCTAGTAGGTGGCGGTAATGCAACATTTATTGGATGCCAACCGCCGTTAAACCTCATCGAAGAAGATGAAGGCAAACACGTGTCAACGATGCCATTAGGGTGCACATCCAAGTGCTATCCACCCTCCGGTTTTTAGCAATGGGCGATTTTCAGCGGTAGCTTGCCGATCGGCATCTCACAGTCCTCGATGAGCCAATGTTTTGGATGCAATCATCAGCAAAATGAACAGTAGGCTAACATACCATTTCCATACACCATCGCACAACAGTGAAGTCAAAAGGGGTTTCTTTGTCTTAAATACGAACGGCGCAATAGACGGCACCAACATCGCCATAAAATGTTATGTGACGCGCAAAAGCCCCTACTGAATGTGGTGGCCATGTGGAACGCGTGACTCGTTCAGCATTGTTGGCCTATAAGCCAAGCCAGCAGGGAACTATTGAGAATGAAAGGCTTATTGCTATGTGTTGCCTACTCATTTTAAGTATATTTGCCATTGCTAAAACAACTTGAATTGTCATGGTCTTTTCTTTGTAGCTATGTTTTTCTTTTTACTGGTCAAGCCACAACTGAGTGAGCCAAATAAAACATTTTGTTTGTACTCAACCAACCTGACACTAACATCTCTATTTCAGTCTCGTAAAAGTTTTTTTCTGATATTTTTTTGGTTGCGCCTTTGTATTTCACGGTACAGGGTGGTATATTCCCTTTGTAGAAATCTCTCCGCCATTTCCTGGTTGCAAATATTGTAATAGTTCACCTCATTTCATTTTGTGACAAAACTGGCAAGTATAGTGTAGAGCAGAGGTACTCAACTCTTACCCTACGAGGTTCGGAGCCTGCTGGTTTTCTGTTCTACCTGATAATTCATTACACACACCTGTTGACCCAGGTCTAAATCCCTAATTAGAGGCGATCAATGAAAAAATCCAGTGGAACTGGCTTCGAGGTCCAGAGTTAAGTTTGAGGGGTGTAGAGAATCATTGTATACCGCTGTGAAATATATTTTCCATAAACCCCCCAAAAATGTATTTTCAGCTGTTTGAAGCTGGTGTACAAAACCTAAAGTAAAAGAGACTAAAACGAAACTTAAGAAAGGGAAGCATAGCAATAGCGCACATAACAGATCTACCGCTTCTTAGACTTGCTTTCAATGAGAATGACAGTATATAACACATTTCTATGTGAATTTGGTAGGGTTACCCAAAAAGTTACTTATTGCAACTTTAAAGGTACGATTTTGACCATATATGGTTAATTATGGGAGTTTTGAAACGCAAATAGCCAAGGTTGTGCATGAGTACTGAGGCTGCAAACAATTGTTATTTATCAATCAGTGGTGGCTGGAGGGAGGAGCTATAGGAGAACGGGCTCATTGTAATGGCTAGAGTGGAATGTGTGTGAGTGTATAAATATAATTGTAAAAACTGGAAAGTGTGATAAAATGTACAATGGAAACTCCCTCAAAGGCAAACTTGTGGCACCCACAATAACCTTCTGCTTTATTTATTCCTGTTTAAAAATGGCTGTGTCAGAGTGAAAAACTGTGGATAACTTTGTTATGAAATTGATTTAGTATCTGTTCATGGTGTCAATTACAGCTAATTCACAAGAAATTAAAAACAAACACATAGGTAAATAGATATCTTGCAAACTTTATTTCATGTTTCATTTATTATTCTCTTTTCCGTACCCAAAGAAAACACATGAAAAAATGCTATAGGATACTATGGTATAAATACTATAGTATTCACTGTAGTGTTTTTACAGACTCAAGTCAGCAAAAAAACTACAGTGAATATTGTAGTATTAACTGTAATATACTGTAGTATTTACAGTTAGCTATAGTATATATTATAGTAATGAATTTTGTGTTTTTGTGGATTGTAGTATACTGTAGTATTTACTGTAGTGTTTTTGCGGACTGTGGTATACTGTAGTATTTACTATAGTGTTTTTGCAGATTGTAGTGTTTCTGCGGACATTACTGTAGTATTTACTATAGTATTTTTGTTTTATTATCTTTGACATAGAAGGTGAAACTTTCTCTTTGAGGAAATCTGCTGGAGAAATATTAAAAGAGCACATTTTCCATAACCTGTAGGTAGGTAGGACTGGGGTCTGAACAGATAGTTCATAGCTTCTGCTCTTTTCTATGACCTGTAAGGAACACAATAATATGGTCTATACTTGGCATGTAGGTTTCTCACTTATCGGTGGCACAAATTGGGATATAGTGAGGGGAATGGGCTGGGTATATGGAAATTAAATACTGTAGTGATATTGCGGACATTACTGTAGTATTTTGCGAATAATGCTGTAGTATTTACTATATTCTACAGTATACTACAACATTCTATAGTAAGTACTACACGTTATAGGGACACTACAGTGTGTAGTATATAATTCCACAGTATACTACAGTTTACTACATAATTCTATAGTAGGTAATGTAGTATTCTATAGTAAACTGTAGTATTTTTTCATGTGGGAATTGACTGATTTACTCATCTGAAGATGCATTTCACATTTGTTTTGGACAATCAATGCACATTTCAGCAGGAT